ATCGACCTGTCTGGCATAGTAGAACCTACAGTAACATATGTTCCAGCCAATATAGCTCGGTTGGGTCATCACGATAGGCAAGCCTGATCACCGCGTCAAGGTAGCAGCTTCGGTCGGGACTTCTGAATAGGAGTTAGAACAAACTGTTCAATTACAAAGTTAATTATGTAAATATTAAGAGAGTATGGTGTGTACATGTGATGAGAACATTATCATAATCTATACAAAATGACATTTAATTTTGAAGCGAATGACAGAATTTTGTACGGGTTACATTGTGTGAAACTGTTATATCTTGCCAAATGGTGTACTCTCAAAGAGTTCGTCAGAGATGTAAAATTTGAGAGTTCATTGAATGACACAGGTCTTGAATATTTGTTGGATAGTTACATCAATTAAGTTGCAGACTACACATACATTTTGACTTCTCTCGACGTAATTTGCTAGGTTCCGAGGTTTTTTATATTATGTTATGAAAAATCCTGAAATATTTACGGCATTACTTTGGTGTACATGCAAGAACTCATTAGAATTTTTGAATCCTTTTATAACTTAATTTGTGAATGATCAACTTGGCATTATTGTATGTTGTTCATAAGGTTTATAAGATTACCTGGATTGCTTGACTTAGTATAAACGATATAAGCCATAGCTTTTCGTACTAAATGATTGGAGTTAGTCAACAGGAAACTCTGAGCCTTAGTTTCATTGCGTATTGCAGTAGTGACAGAATTGATAATTTTGATGAGGTACGAACTTTCATTAACCAGGTGTGTGGTCTGAAAGATCAACAATGAGCCACTTAAATTGCAACCGACTACCTGCAAAACAGAGATACATACACTGGGTGATCTATGAGTAGTGAAAACATCTCAGAATGTGAAACTAGCACAACACCTTGATTCAGGGTCGAATACCGACTACCTTCAACCGCTCAACATCTACCATCTAACGTCAATATATAGTCCAGGTGATGTCAGCCACTTCAACCGGTCACTCTGATGCAACATGGTCGATAGAATTTGATCAACATTAAGGACTAGGAAACGATAATACACTTGTCACTACTCCGTGATCAATCAGTATAAACGACTTTGCAGTCACATGTACATTATTTTTGTGAAATCATAATGTATTCAACTACCGAATAGATTATCATTCTATCAGTAACATGGCCAAATCACTTGACTTTATGCTGGATATCCGGTTATTGTTGTCTGCAAATCAGGTAGGTGCATTGATTACGATAATATTCACTTACACACATATGTACACTTTGAATATATATCAACCGAACATAGATCGTCCAGACATTACCTGAAACTAAGCAGCTCCAGTCATTCTTACTGGTAAACGAAAAAGATGATAATATTAGTGATAGTTTTCATGTGAATTGTAAACATATTTGGTTTTGAGAAAGCTAATTCTGTCTATATTTAATGGTATACATAAGAATGTAAATATAAAGTGAACAGACAACGGATGCACTCGTCCGACGACTCATCAAACTAGGGGTGTATAGCTGTTCAGTGTTCCCATATTTTCGATGGTACCTCCGCTGAATTTAATCTGTGATTAGTGTGACCCACAAACATTATTATTGTTTACAATAATTAATTTACGACAATCTCATAGTATCAAGTTAAATTCAGTGCCTACAATCCCTTGAAGTGAACTACTTGTACATTTCAATGTAATTCATCATTTAGAATTTCTAAGTTGTAGATAACGGGTCCAATATTTACTTAGCCATGTAAAGTGGTCTATTTCGTTATACTAACCAATTCATTGCGGCTGTTTCCCAACTGACCGTTGCTGCTACCTTGACGTGTTGGTCGTGCTTATCTATTGTGACGAACAAATCGGGTTGTAATGGCTGGGACAATCGTTCCTCAAGGTCCTACCATGCCAGACAGGTCGGTTGAAGAACGGTAAGACTAAAAGCAGCGAACCCAAAGTTCGAGGGTGAAGTCGTATTGCTAACCGTACAGAGGTGTGACAGCTGTTAGGTGTTTCCTTCAGACAACAAGCATGACAGAGATGCTGCCTTCCCACAAGAAAGTGTGGGGTTAGAAATGATCGACCCTAAAAATACACATCTCACCTCATCCCACGGATTTCCGTCTCCGGTGGTAAGGTCTGAACACGGTCGAAGCTAATGCGAAAATTACTCACAAAAAGGTCATGTGTGACCGGCCTCAAGCAGTTGTCCCATGGGTGTTACAGTCACGCTTTCAAGTCATTAAAACCAACTCTAACCCAATTTCCTTTTCAGATACGTCTAGAAGAACCCTTCAACGGTGTGAGCAACTGTGAAGTGAAAAGTGCTATCATAACTCAAACAGAACTCAAGACCACTGGTTGTTTCCCAAGTTTATATTGGGGAATTCAAGCAGTCGGAAATTATGAAGGGGAGACGACTTCATTGAAATAACTAACCGAATTTGTGCATAAAAAATACAAGGAAGGATGATATTATTTCGTAAAGGTAATAATACAAATGATTCAGCTTCTTGAACAAAACTCGATGAGATACATTATTTGACTGCTGCTTAGACATTTTATGTTCAGAACATGACATCACAAACATCGAGTGAAGTTTATATGAAGATGAAACAGTCAAGATAAATTCGGTACACCATTTGTAAATAGTCTGTATGTTTCACATCACGAATTATTCGTAAAAATACTCTAAGAATTCTAAACACAGTGCAGGAAACATGTCTTCCAGAAGCAAATTCAAGTGATAACTTTGTGTCACTCTATAGACAGTCTGATTTCAACAAACATTGCTGATTACCACACAAATATGCAGCATAATGCACACTTGGAATTCCATGTGGTCAGATATTGTGTTACGCGACAATGGTATGTGAACCAATAAGGTATAAATAGCATCATTCAAATAACTGGATTTCAGTTTAATAAACCAACGTATGATCATAAAATGGTTAAGAATCATAAGTGTGCACTATTAATGAGCCTCAAATCAGGCTAGGACAATTGTCCAGTGCTCCCCAATTTTCGTTCGTTCTACAAGTAGTGTCAATCCGCGACAAAGACGACCCTCAAATTTTATCATTTTCATAGTATACGTCACGAAGTGATTTTCGTTGGACAGTCATCGAAAGCCAGGAAATAATTAATAAATGTTTATCTTAGTATGATACTCAATGTTTTAAAGGCTAGGCAATCACCACAGAAATTACCGATCTTAGGTTCAACCCCCATAGCGCTGTGGATGCGTATTGCTGAGTCCCATACAACGATAGAACAGCTGTTCAGTTATTCATGGATTTCATTAATCCTCTAACTAACATAAGTCCATCATACAAACTATGCGACTCAATAATCTGCTAACAACCCCCTCCCCCACATTTTTACGATTTTCAGTAAACACCTTACATAACTATGGTAAGTATTTCAAAGAAGAGATTTTCTACTAAATGGTTATTTAAAGGTAGTTTACTCTAGTTTTCATAACACAGTCAAGTCAGTAAGTAACAACACAGAACTTTGCACGTACGTACATCAGTTCGAGTTGCCACACCACATCAGCACAGAGATGCAGTTGTCGATTCAAATCCCGTAGTGGTAGAGGTAGTAAGAGTATGAGCAGTAATCGGGAAGATTAGGGTTTGAAGATGTTATTCAAGGAGTAGAATACAGCGAAATAAATTGAGAAAAGGAAAAGAGGAACACGGAGTGTTGAGATTATAATTTGGGAAAACACAAAGAGTGGATGCACCTACGCCATTGCAAACGATTTTAAACCATATCATTCATGATCTCTAACCATCGGTTGCTATCGTCTCGCAGATCCCAACCAGATAGTCTACACCTACCAACGTGGCTCAGTCCACTTGTCAGTGACTTCATGGATTTTCGCCATGTTATGGTCTGGCCACCTCTAGCTTTTTTCCAACCTACTCCTACACCATAAAACATCGCACGTCGAGGCAGTCGGTCCTTGGGCCTATGTAACACGTAACCCAGCCATCTCAACTGATGAAGTTTCACTACTTCATCAATTGATTTACCATCCTTACCTAGTACCCGTGTCCCAACAACTGCAATACTAACTCGGTGATCCCAGGACATACGAGTAATGCTTCGAAGACACCTATGACCGAATACTAGTAACTTACGAATATCCTCTACTCTTACCGGCCATGTTTCATTGCCATAAAGTAGGATGGAACGAACTGCTGCGCAGTAAACCCGTCCTTTGGTTGATAGACGGATATCTCGCCTATGCCATAAATGACCCAAGTTGGCAAAAGCATAAAACAGTCAAAGTCATCCAGCATTCTTTATGGGACTCAACTTAAATGATAAAATTTTTCACGTACAGTACCTATTAACAAAACGCATCATTTCGCAGTTTTCAACTACCCCATTCATCTATTGCTTGTTCTTTAAGTTTATAAACTAGGATGTATTGTCAGTTACAGTAGAGGAAAAAAATCATTCTGCTTTATTCAACAAAACACGGCATGAATATATATATATATACATATATATATATATATATATATATATATATATATATATATATATATATATATATATCAGAAGGGGTTTTGTGGAGATTGTAGTAATTTTAAATAGTTGAGATCATGAGTCAATTGAAGCTAGATCACCATGGAAAACCTGGAGGCACTGGACGACCGTTTCGTCCTGTTGTGGGACTCCTAAGCAGTGCGCATCCACGACCCCGCCTCGCGGGATTCGAATCCAGAACCTATCAGTCTCGCGCCATGCGCTTAACCAACTAGACCACTGAGCCGGCCGATATCCAACGGTGTAAATGTTTAACTTCAACTAATCCACGAAGTCAGACGACACATCCACCCTTGTCATCATTGAGTTACTACCTCACAACTGACCCGGTTGTACTCCAGGTTTTCCATGGTGGTCTAGCTTCAATTGACTCATGATCTCAACTGTTTAATATATATATATATATATAGACTACGAGAAATCATTTTTCAACTTACCATAATGGAAGTGTTCCTGTTTGATTTGTCAATATCATTAAATCAATTTATTGAAAAATAATAATAGTATAGAATTTCTATTGTATTGGGCAATTGACTAAGTGTATATGATGAATAATGACATTAATGTGAATTTTTCGGGTTGATGTTTCTATGTAATGTTACTTTCAAGTACATAAAAAGTGTGATTCAGGATATTCCTTCATATTGATTCATCTCGGATTTATATAATTCAACAAAGTACTCGATAAAAATATATAGGCTAAGTGAATAGAATATTATCTAATTGAATGAGATGTATGACAGACATATAAGGATATTTTATTGTAACTAAGTTTAAAATGAATGAATTCTATTGGTTTATTAAATCATGTGATCACCTCCTTTTCATCCCATTATCAAGAATTATAATCATCAGTAATCTAACACATCGATGAACATAAAAATGTCGATATTGTACACATCTGGCTATAGTTTGATTATTAATTAAAGAAGGAGGGGGTGGATAAAAATGAGAACAGTATTCATCATCTGAAATGAATGTACTCTAACAAGTGATTGTTCAAGGGATATAAATTTGGCAAATCCAATGAATAAACCATACAAAGATAAAAGGCTAGCTAGTTGCTGTCGACATCAGGATGTTTTTAACCTTAGGACAGTTTTTGAATGTTAAGTATGTGATAAAATGTACAGTGTTCTACATAAAATAGATATTACTCTGGTATTTAACAAAATGATCACTTTGTACACATTTGTCATTATGTGAGACATAATGCACATAAGGACATTGAATTTTTGTGAAAATTATATTTGTAAAGATCTCAATAATTGAACTTAATCATTCAGATCTCAACAAAGTTCATTTAACGTGCTATTACTGACTATTTAGATTTACAATAGCAGAACCAATCGATATCACACAGACAACAAGTGATAGAAGATAATGGGGAAGATCTGTTACTCAGGTGGATAATTCTGGTGGAGTTTTGTTCTCTAAGCTGGATGGTTTGGTCGTGGAGCTTCCATCGTTCTCCTGAACATCATCAGCGCAAACTTGGTCAATCAAGATCGAGGTTTACAGGATAAGCTGTGTGTCATGTGTGGAGAAATTCAAACACTTCACTTCTACCTGAGTTTTGTGCTGATGATATTGTTTAGAAGAACGACGAAAGCTACACGGCTAAAGCATCCAGCTCAGATAACAAAACTCCACCAGAAGGGATAAGATTGGTGATCTCGTCATTCAGTCAATAGTTTAGTGTTAACTGAGCAGATTTCAATAGACGAAACCTCTGACATATTTGGTGAATTAAAACTGCCACTGGTAAATGAACAAACCTAATCAGGATATCATAATCAAAAAGAAATATCACACAGTAATGTATGTGCAGTGACTTCCAAATCTCACATGATCAACTTCTATTTACGATTTTCAGATTATCTGAAAATGCATATTGATTTGTTGCATTGTTAAATGTGAGTGAATTCTATGTATCTGCTAGGTTGTTCGGCCATCTTTTCTCTTACATACTCTGCTCTCCATACTCCCCTAGGCACAAAACATGTCTTCAGGCTGGATGTTATCCTGCAATTGAGTAAACGCTACACATAATCGTCATATTCCGCAGCCCTGTCAGAGTTCTGTATTCATATACATCTTTTACATGTACGTTACTAAGTAGTAATAATTTTAACACAATCGTAATGTATTTTGCAAAGAACCTCATCCAATTTCGAACGAATGATTTCACGTTTGATGGATGTCGAGTGATACATATTTACTGTGCCGGAATAATCGGTAACTAATTATTCTCACTGTTGAAATCACGAAGCGATCTAACCTAGGTCATCTAGAAGCACTCTACCACATTTTTGTCTTACTACGGGACTCTCAGTACAGAGCATCCATGGCCATTAGCCTCGTTATTCCTCTGGAATTATATCACGTGTTGCTACGTAAACATAGTGTTATTTATTTTCCGTTGGCTTTGTTGATCAAATTACATATTTTAAATAATGATTTCGAAATATTTTTCTAGATTCATACATCAAAGTTCATGATATTTGTACTTCCTATTCCTTTAATTAGGCTACACCACATCACTTATTTCAAGCTAGTTTGTTCTTGTATTGGATTAATGAGAGTCTGAAAATCTCCCATAGAGTAATTTGTAGGTAACTTTTATGCATTTTGAAAACTGGTTACGAATTCTATGGTATGAATGCATGTTTCATCAAATTATTTATCAATGTGATATGATTTCAGTCCACGTGAATTTAGACAAGCAATTATACATTTACACAACAAATAGCGATGGTGGTTAAAAACAACTATTCATTGTTGTGCTTGATGAAGTTATTATTTTGTTAATGATAAATGCTTCACAAAAACAGGGAATATTTTGACGAACAGTTGTTTTCAACTATTTCGTCATCAGACACCACAGTTAAAAGTTCATAATTATTGTATTCTTTTTACAAAAGCTAAGATTAAGCATGCTAGTGACTAGAACTGTGTTACATGTTGAATATGGTGAACTTTTGCGTCTAATACGGCCTAAATACTTCAAAACTGTGTTTGTAAATTAGGTGATTTACAAAAGGTTAGAATGACCTGTTATAAGGTGCCAAGTCGTGATCAATAAAATATTGTTAAAATAAATTGTTTCAATGGAGCACATTGTAGGAGAATGTCGTCGGAAATAATGGAGATTGTAGTTATATAAACAATAAAGTTATGTGTAATAAGTAAGGTGTTGTCTCGCTAATTATAATAAGAAATTCATGTGAATTGAAAAAGATGAATGCGTAGATAAAGAAAGGGAAAGGTGTAAGTGGTTTATAATATCCACTTTATGTATATGATGATCCTATAGTGGACCAATGTAAATACTGGGACTGAACATACTTCTTTTACATACATCCGTTGGGTTTTCTAGAGTCGACCCACCTGGTTTCATCTACGTAGAAGAGTCGTAATCTTACACCTTCAGGTAAATGGTTCTGGGACTTAATACTAAACAGCAAAAGCTTTATCTCTTTCAATATGATGTTCACCATCTACTAAGTGAGGAATAGTGGGACTGTTACTAGATTTCATGACACCTTTTCCCAACCATTCCGGTACACGTTTACGGGTACGCAAGCATAGATCACTCCAAGTATAGCCTACGTAACTGACTTTACTAGTACAGTTAAATTGATAGATGCACAAAGAGAATGGAATCTTCGGTATCTTGTCCTTGCTACGTTCTACAGGAATTGGTTTAGTTGAGGCCACTGGTAACTTGGCGACATGAAATGTCTTTTTAATAAAATCCAACATGTTAAAATTGAGTTTTAGTTAGAGGGCTTTCTTGCTGACTGTGTTCGAGTTTGTCCTATTCTTCCATTTTGATAGATATTTTTTTAACGAAGTAATCTAACATAATAGTTTGATCCTGTGGCAGAAAAATCCAACCAGATTTGCTTTGTTACGCATTGCATTAACTAATTTGAAAACCATATACACAGTCCAACTATTAATTGCGAATCGGGTACAAATCAATAACGCGTTCGTTACAGACATGCTTACAACTCAGATGCTTAAATGTGGTGCTGTGAAAAAGCTGCACTGCACACGCTCCCATATTATTATGGTTAAAAACTCTCAACTCCTCATTTCCGGTAGAATATCTGTTAATATTCCCTTGTAATGTTTGTTAAATACCTAGACACTAACTTCCTAACTTTTCCTATTCCGTGGAAAGTTTGTGGCGAACGCGGATTGGTCGGATTATTTTTAGCAATGACCTGACTTCTTATAACTATACCGTTGAGTTATCTAGGGATATCAGTATACTCTTCCTAATTTTTGAACCTGGTGCTTAGATGAACATTTATTTAGGCTCTTTCCGGTACAAGGGTTAGGGTGTGTTCAAAACTCCACCTATAGCTCCTCTAGAGTTACTGCTGGTCCCAAGCCCTGGTAAAGGATGAGGGCTAGGAGTGAAGTCAGCAAATTCATCCCATAGAAAATAAACTTGCTAAAATACGCTAACCAGTAAGAACAACTTAAACCATTTATACTCTGTCCTCCGACTTGAAGATTCTTTGTGTAGTAGAATTATGATGCCTTACACTAAAAGCCAATATTCGTCCGAAGTCACGACGCCGATATCCCTCCTAACAACCACAGTAACAATTATTGTAGGTACATACAATATCCAAACAATGTAGAAGAACGGGAGAATCAGACAAATAGTCACGGAAGTGAAGAGATACAACTTGGTGGTGCTCGCAACAAGTGAAACCAATCGGACTCAAGCTGGATAGAAAAGGTTAGATTCGAGAGAGTTGCTGATGTACTCTGTTCATGAAGAAGAGAACGCCCGCACACCTAGGGAGTTGCTCTGATGTCGTCTAAAGAAGCACGAAAAGCACTTATAAGATGGGAATCACATGCATTCAGAATCACCAAAGCATCCTTCAAAAAAAACATGAAGGGGGTTACAATGAATGATATCCAGTGTTATGCGGCAACCAATGTTGGCAGTGGAGACGATTTGCTTCCAATTTCAAGGGATTGTCTTATTCCAAATGACATACGGTGCTTAGCGGGACGTCACCTGGCTGCAGCTGGTCGAAACAATCTAAACCTATTAAATTTAGATCAGCTGGCATTATGTAACATACCCCGATGAACGTCGATTCTTCGAAAGACACTTTATACTCTAACTGTTCAAGTCGATTTTCTATATATTTATCTCTGTAAAGAACCATCTGAATTTTTTTCTAACCGCATATCAAGAAAATGATGTTTATCGTTCACTGCTGCTTCTAATGTGAATTGAATCGAATGATGACGTTTTTTAATTGATCCGAAATTTCATTGAGGTTCATATCTTCTTCACCAATAATGAAAGTATCATCCATATATCTCTGATATGAATGAAATCTTTCAATTATTGATCGAAGTACAATATATTCCAGATTGATCATGCAACAATCACGCAAGAGAGGGACTAGTGGAGAACCATTTGCAACTCAATAGCTTTATCTATAGAAATCATTATTAAATCTGAGTTGCACATTAGAAGTATATAAAATGTTTTGTTAGTCGTAATTATTCTTTCAGTACACTGTATAGATGGTATTCTATAGTCCAAATGATGTAAAATAGGGGAATATTGTGAATTCATATAAGGTAAGTAGATTTCAAAAAGTCAACTAAGTTGAAGCACTAAA